ATGCCCATGGCCTAAATAGACAAGCATAGCCGTATCTGCCTTCGTCAGAACAGAGGCTACACCGCACCAAAGCCCATTTCGTCATCCAAACATAGAATACATCTGCTCGGCGCTCCCAGTGGTAAACACGAAAGTCTTCATCGTTGTGCACCACCTAAAGATTAAAGCTGATAGCAGCGCTTCGGGGACTGGTGGATATTTCTCCTGCACACAATCCCTCTCCTGGTATTACCCAAATCATGTAAAAACACCCGATTAACCATAAAGGAAACTACTCACAAGGTTGGTGAAAACTCTTTGACAGCCCACGACCGGTTTCGCCCTTCTTGGGGCTCATCAGGTAGGCGCAGTCCCCGAGTTTCCGTCAACCTTATGATCTACTTGAACCCAAATTGCACTGTTTTCGAGAAATACACTCATCTGCAAATCAATTTATTTTTCACGGGAGACTCAATTGAATCGCTCGTTTATGATGTTCTCCAGCTGAATGTGCTGCACACAGGACGCCCCAGGATTCAGTTGGCACGATATTCGAGATATCGAAGTATATCAATTTTCATAAAGGAAACTACTCACAAGCTTGCTGCAAACTGTTTGACAGCCCACGACCGGTTTCGCCCTTCTTGGGGCTCATCAGGTAGGCGCAGTCCCCGAGTTTCCGTCAACCTGGTAATCTACTTGAACCCAAATTGCACTGTTTTCGAGAAATACACTCATCTGCAAATCAATTTGGTTTTCAAGGGAGACTCAATTGAATCTCTCGTTTATGATGTTCTCCAGTTAAATGTGCTGCACACAGGCCGCCTCATGATTCAGTTGGCACGATATTTGAGATATAAACGAGAGATTCAATTGAGTCTCCCGTGAAAACCAAATTGATTTGCAGATGAGTGTATTACCCGATTAACCAGTTATCTTAGAAGTCCACTCCCGCCAGCCATTATACATTTAATTCCCATACCACGCTTCTGCGCGCTTATATAGGCTTTTACTAGATCCCTTGTAATGTAATATCGTACGTCAGCAAACTCAACCCCTGGCCGCTAGCCTGCTTAGTAAAAATCTATCTATTTTCTACTCCATATAATAATTGTCATCACCGTAATTCCAGCAGTAGTCAAGTTTTTCTTTCTGTGTATATTAATGCATATTATCCCATTTTATATCCCCTCGAGTTCACCATGTTTTGCGAATCTTCTCCCATACCCTCACATTCAATTCGGAAGTGTCCGTTTTGGACGACCTGGTTAGTTGATATCCACTCCAACTGGCCAATGATCTACAACCCCAGGATCACCAAGCGGACCAAGAAAACCAACAACCCCATATCAGCTTCGTTCCGGCTTGTTTCCTCGACCAGGCTGAAATGAATACCGCTGCTTAATGAACTGACAGCCCAGCCGAATCATCAACTGTGATTTTCGTCACGGGGCTGTCCGAAAACTGAAGCATGTCAGGCCAATGATGGCACGGCACTGCCATTCTCAGTCTGATAGAATACACGCAACTGTTCCATTCCTCCTCCCAACCGAGCCCTCCTGCCGACTCGCTTCATTGAAAACAAATACGACAAACATTCCAACTGACCCCAAATGCCCCCATGACATTCGTTCCAACCTGTTGGACTACTCGTTCGAATTCAACCGACTCCGCGTTCCCATCCAACCTGACCCCTGCACCCGATTTCCTACAACAGTGCAACTAGTGAGTCTGCATTTTCTCAGATTACACCACATTTTTGAGACTAAACTTGCCATGTTCTCCTAATTGGAAATATCCCATCTCCACCTGCACTTTCGCTCGCTGTGACTCCAGCCTTTTACCCAATCGCCCAAGGTCACTCATGGCCAGCAGTCGCTTTCCAGTTTTAGTTCATGTCAACCGACTGAGTCTTTGAATTAGTCGGACTTCATGCCCGTTGTTCCCTACAAGTTGCGAGAGAACCCCAATATTATTTCAATGAATACTTCTCAGTGTTTATGACATTGTCTGCATTTCGCGCAATCCCCACTACCCGCAAATACCCCAGTCATACCCATTCTGGCTGTAAACGCATGACCATGCCAGACGGTATGCCATAAGTTATGAACAAACATTATTATTATTACCAACTTGTCGCTTGCGAGACTCCTTCACAGACGTCGCCAGGCGAACCGCACAGAGGCGACTATGAACAAGTATCCAGTCAAGTAAGGATACTTCCGCCCGGTGACTTAGCACAAGAACAACACTTGCCCGGTTTGCTAGGGCCTTTTGGCTTTGAAGGACGAGGTCTTTTTCCCCGTGGGCGAAAATTTCAACCGTTGCCGTTTGTAGCTCGTGCGGCAACCCCTTTAGGGCGACCAGATTCGCTGTCGATCAAAGATTTGCGGCAAGCTTTCTCCTTCCTGGATTCTTGAGTGTTTGGCGCGGTTCGACCAGAAAAATGCCTCTGTGAGGCCCTGAGCTCTGGGTAGCGGCACCAAGAAGTAATGATTTTGGTGGCGCTTCCTAGAGGCTCGTCTTTGCGGAGGACTGCACCTTGAAGCCAGCCAGCAGTTTTCTAATCTGGCGAATTTTATGCGGGTTGTTTGGCCGCAGTCGCACTTCTTTCGTGTTTGTGTAGACACCCGATCCGCTGGCAATCAGCGTGGCCAATTGGATGTACGAGGGGTTTTCCGGATGGCTGTGGTCATGTTTATGACTTAGGTTATCAAGATCCTGGGCGACGGTTGTGTCCACAAGCAGAGAGACCGCTTTTGACGGAGTGGAGCTGGAGCTTGGCTTCGCCGCTTGTCCCCGCACATCTGACTCAGTACAGTTCAGAGGCTATAGCTTTGTTGAGGCTGTGTTGCCCGTTACGGAGATGAGCGCTGATAGCTCCACGCACTTTGGGCGCTGCTTGCATATAAGGTTGCCTCCTCCTGGGCATCGCTGCCTTTGATGGGCGAGAGGCCTGTCGCGGTCGAATAAAAACTGCTGTCCACAGGCGCAGCTGGTTTCGTCAGCCTGCTTTCGAGTGCACAACGGGATACGACCACAATCGGCTTGGTCATGAGTTTGGGGTCCGCTAATTGGTGCCCAGTAGAAGCCTGTTTCCTGCCTCCACCCCTGACCTGTTGTGGTCCTGCTTTCGCGCGTCTAGAGGGCGATTCTCAGATAGACGCCTGACCATTGGGTTGGCCTTGCGAATGTTGCCAGTCCACTCCAAGATCTTCTGTTTGTCAGATGGGGAAGAAAGAGTAATAAGAAGTCCAAGAGTTCGCTTGCTTCCCTTCTGGCGTAAACATTTTTCCTGATCAGGCTTGGTGCAGACATTGCTAAGGATTGATTGTGCCAGCTTCGCTGGCGTGATTTTTCCGGAGGATGACCCCCAGATTATCAATCTTTCATTCACTAAAGACGCTGTGGTGGTCTTTATAGCGACGTCAGAGAGTTGTATTACTTTCTCCGTAGCCAAAGGACCCGGAATAGATATCACGAGGTACGCGTTCAGTGAAGAAAGTTTCTTGTCAACTTTCGTCCAAGTCGCTGCATTCTTAGTGACTGAGGCCTCCGGTGCTTTAAAAGACGCTCCAATTTTGCGTTGAGTGTCCCAATCAAAGCGGAACACTGACGTCGGCCTTTCTAACTCTGCAGTGGAGATAGGGTACTGTTTTGGGGGCCCTCCTCTTGGTTGCGGTATGCATTGCACCCCTAACGTACAGGCAGCCGGCGCAGATAAACGGGTCAGGAGAGTTAGCTAGTCGGCTTATCTGATCATCCTGTAAACCCGTGCATTTGAATTGCCACCAGGCCTTGCGGGTGTGACATTGCATACCGCGTTTGACGTTCGACGGGCAGCCATTTCGCCCGCATCTGTTTTGGTCTTTCAATGGCTGCAGAGGGCAAGCGGTATAAATTGATGTCACGTTTAGGAATAAATGTAAAATAGGATGTGTGCGCAAAATATCAAGGGTTATCTCTCAAATGTTTTGTTAGCGTAGTAAAATTCAACAATAACTCGTGTGTACTCTGCGAATAGATTGAACGACGAAAAAATTCTTCCACAAATTTGCACGAGGAAAAAACGAAACCGATCTCAAACTTACCGTTTTAAAATGCAATTCGGTCACCTGCGACATCATATCCACAAAGTGTTGCTCGGCCCCCGTACAGACTGTCATACCACCTGGGCTTTGTGTTAGAACTTATTTAATCGGTCGATATATCTGCAGAGGGGCGAACGTGCATCAAATATAGCCACAAACGAGAATTCGGCAAAGAGAAGTCTTTGGGATGGGGATGACAGAGTGTCAATGGTGAAAGCTGGTCAATGGTTGGGTATACAAATCACGTTAAGATTGACTTTATCAGTGGAGCTGGAGAATTTTATGGGGTGCAAGAGTCAGGTTCGGTGGCCGAGGTGGAATTCTCTGTTTTGTTGAGAGTTAATTGGTCACGGGAGCTTCAAGGCTGGAAGTGGAAGTAGTCCACTGTATCCTCGAAGAGCTGGATCCGTCCGGTCTTCTCTCGTCGTGAGGCATGATGCTTTACTTGGTTTTTGATTTAGCAGTTCTGCGGAACTGAAAAAAGTTGTAGAAAATTTTGGGGTTTGAAAGTAAGAGGGGAACGTAAGCTGCAGTAGGCATTGTGATTGCGGCGGATTCGACTAGTGCTGCCATTGTGTTATCTCTTTGGAATACAAGGGGCCTGGGCTATACTGAGGTTATCACAGATCACCTTCGTTGTGTCACACTTAGATAACGACGTTTCTCCCTGCAGCCTGCGCCAACGTGACATACAGGGTGCATTCAACGGTTGAGTTCTTCCCAAAAATTCTGGCTGTCCTCAGGCAGTGGCGAATGGATGCTATATTAGATGAGGAAGTTAACTGATTTGAGTGTGGCGAACCGGGGCCCAAGTATGATGAGCTTACTAGGCCCAGCTACTATAGCAGCAAGAAAAATATATGTGATAGACTAGCACTGGTTCAAAGGTTTTTTGGAGCACAAAATCTGTGCTAGCAGGAGAGCAAAACCATGAATCGATTTCTAGGGATCGATCATCTTCCCAAGCGGGCCGACTGGAGATTCTGGCTTGCAATTATGGATCTTCCTCCGATTATGTTGGCATCAGCGCAAGAATATTTCAAGGAGATTGGTGGGGTAATTCTGGAACACAGGTTGAAGTTTGAGAACGAGAAAATGGCGGGCAGGAAACCTGCGGACAATAGTGAAGTGCATTGGTGGTGAACACCTTCAATTAGGGTCAGGGACGGCTCCGAGAAGAAAACTGGCTGGTCCTACTAGAGGCCAGCGAACCTTTCGTTGTAACACTTTGGGCGACTGTCACACCGTATATGCTTAGTTCCTTACATTCTTCACCCCCTGGCGAAGCGACTTGCTTACACCTTCATTGGCTGATAATGTCTGAAGATTGGAAACGCGTTTTCGGAAGAAGAGCTTGGGAGTACACCGTGGTGAATATCATCAATTCCCATCGGGATGAGCGATTTTCAGGATCGTATTGAACAGAAAATGAATATTCCTAAGCATTTGGGCACATACGTGCAAAAATAATGCACGGTTTGCCCACAATGGAAGCTGAAGAAACACCAACTCTCTGCTAGCTTATATTACGTAAGACACAAAGTCGACACCATCAAGGCGCGTTAACCATCTGTTCAAGCCCAGCCGTACACAGGGAACCTAGCTCAAGTGCTTTTGCTTTGTGCAATAAGAATCGCTCGCAATGTCAGCGACACCGGTGAAGACATTTACCCTCACACAAGCACGGATTGCGGCCCCTGGATACATTAAACACCATGCGCACCAAAGACTGCGGACACAACCACTTCTGGAAATACACAGATGAAATGCTGCTTTCAGCGGTCAGCTGATCTAACCTGACCTCACCACCTTACCTTGCGAAAATTATTCACTCACAAACACACATCGGCTCTCTATCCTCATATACCTTAACATTAACTGCACTCACCTACACAAGGGGCGTGTTGAACATAAAATTCCCGTTTGGTTTAGTGCGACTTACTGCGGACGGCTCGCACCGCCATAGACAGGTGATGAAAGCTACTGCGGAGAACATTATGTTGCACGATTTCCTGTGCTCCAGGCGGTTTTCACTTGAACCAGATAACATTCATTATTTGGTAAGCGCTGTTTCCGAGAATTTTAACACTGCCACGTTGTTGCATGTGCACTGGACTCCGTCACTCCACTATTAACTCTACCATACGTATCTGAGTAGGACACACCAACAAAGATAACAATGGTTTTATCGCAAAAATCGCGTCCTAGATCGTAAGGGGCATTGCAGTACTTGAAGCACATCTTTGACCTTGAATCTAAGTTGTTTGATATCTGCTGCGTAAAAACGAGGCACCGTCAGGCGTTGATTAATTGCCTGAGCGTGCAATCGGAAGCTGACCTTTCAGGCCCGCATGATTTATGGCTTCCACAATGTGTGTCGTGTGGTTTGAGGGTCGTGGTTGATTCCTGGAATTCTGATGTTCTCAGGAAGCTTTCCTCCCTGACGCCCGCCCCCCGCTTAAAATCCTAAAAGCAGTGTACAACCGTTCCGACTTATCAGCGCTACACGCCTCATGAAGCTCATGGAGTTTCGAAATTTTAGCATCCTGTGTAATACCTTGGAAATTGTCTGGTGGCCATTAGCACTCGATCAGCAGTGCGACACTTAGGCGTGTATCATTGGCATTCGTTCTCTAGTCACAGAATTGACGTCACGCTGTGACATTTTGACCAGATGCTCGAGTGATGACCCTTAAATTTTACTTTCTGTGGCCAGATGAATTCATTGTTCCACCGGGGTACTTAGGGATGATTGCTCGTGCCAAGTTTTGGAAAGTCACGGCATGGGTAAATCAAGCCTACAGTGGTTTTCTGCTTTGTGACGTGCAGTTTTCTCACTTACAGGGCGAAATATCTGTTGCTGTATTTGTGCACCAATCTATCAGCTCCCGCCTGCAATGCGCAGCTACCAACCCCCCCACAAATAATCGGTGAACGAAAGTGCGGCAGCTACAACCAGTGTACGACGAGAGCGCGGTTATTACAGCTGAAAATGTTGATGATTTTAAGGGGTCACCACGTGTCATTTTTTGAAGTCTTTACTTCAACTTAGCCGATTTTGAAAAAATTGTTTGCTTGCACTCAATTGCTGAGCTGTGCCCAGGCTCAGTCATTAGCCAGATCAATACAGACTGCCGTTCAGAGCTTTCGATGGGGGAAAACAGAGGTGGGCGAAATGGTTGTCCATCGAATGTGCGATGCGATATACGGCATCACACCCGCAAGTCCTGGTGGCGTTTTAAATGCACAGTTTACGGTATGACCAGAAAAGCCAATCATCTTACCCTCCTGACCTGTTCGTCTGTGCTGGCTGTCTCTACCTCAAGGATGCTATGCATTCTGTGAGTAACAGTAAAGCTACAAAAGCAAAACCAAATCCTCTCTGCCGAATCCGGAAGACCAATGCAAATGTTCCGTTTCACTCGGGATACTTGGCGGAAAAATGGCGCTTCTTTCTAAAGCTCCCCAGGAAGCAAAAACTAAGATTCAGGTAGCTTGGATAAAGATCCACAGTGAGCTTTCGTTTCTGAACGGGTGTTCAGCGCTTTTCACCCCGGGCCGGTTGGCTTCACAGAATGTCATCCAGCTGTCTAATGCGGCAGCAAGATCACTACGGTGTCTTTAGTCGACAGGCGTGTGAGGAGGAGCAGGCTGGACTTACGAGGGGCGTTCTCTAGAACAATAAGGCTGATGAAGCAAACGAGTCGCTCCTTATCAGTACCCTCAGTAAACATGAACACTAAACGTGGGAAGGGAATCAAGTGAACCTTTGGCCTCCTAGTCACCCTTACCCTCAATTGCCGTACAGAAGATCTTGGAGCTGGCTCTTAGCATCCAAAAAGCTTACCCAACGATCAGGTGATTACCCGAGAATCGCCCTCTGGAGGCACAAAACCTGGACTACGGGGGTCCTAGTGTAACGGCGCTAAACAGTCTTTCGCTTGTCTCCAGCCCAACGGACTCCAAACATATGACAAACCAAGCTCAATCAAGCTCAGAGCGCACACATTCATTAGACAAAATTTTTTCTCATTTCGGGTAGTAGCTGCGTGGAATGACCTTCCTCCGTCAGTTGTCCACGCTCCTTCTAGAACCCTCCTCCACACTGGCAAACCATTTACACTTGGCGTTTCGTCAGTCGCTTGACGAAGGCCGCCTTCCCCCTGCTTGGAAGGAAGCGATTGTCACGCCAATATACAAAATTGGTGACCGACTATCGCCTGGCAGCTATAGGCCTATAAGCCTCACTAGCGTGCCGTGCAAGGTGATGGAACGCATTCTGAAGCGAGCCATCCTAGATCACCTTACTTCCAGCAATCTGATATCTCCAGCTCAACACGGATTTCTCCCAAACCGTTCTTGCGTAACAAACATGCTCGTGTTTATGGACAGCTTAACCCAAGCCAAGGACGAAGGACTCATATCGGATGCCATATTTTTCGACTTCTCAAAAGCATTTGATAGGGTCCCACACGTCCCGCTGCTCCACAAACTCGAGTCTTACGGGATTCAAGGGAAAATCCTTCGCTGGATCAAGGCGTTCCTATCAGACAGGTCATTCCGAGTGAGAATAGGCTCAACCTATTCCTCTCCGGCGCCGGTCTCCATTGGAGTTCCTCAAGGCTCCGTCTTGGAACCAATCCTGTTTCTGATCTACGTCAACGACCTCCCAGACGTTCTTGCGAGTCCATGTCTACTTTTTGCGGACGACTTGAAATCCTGGAGTTCCAATGCCAGTGCCCTCCAAATGGACGTAGACGCTGCCAAGCAGTGGTCGTTGGACTGGCACCTTCCTCTGAATGATGAAAAGTGCGTGCATGTGTCGTTTGGAGGGAGTTCAGCGAATGCCATTATTATGCATGGTGAAAAGTGACCAGAAAACATCATCACGCCCTAAGGGTTTGAGCGTCTGGGTCTCCTCAAACTTGTCCTTCTCACTGCACCATGAGTAATCAGCCAAAGGGCATTCGCCATATCACGGATCATCCGACGCACCTTCTCCTGTATTACTGGCATGGACTTCCAAATACTCGATGTGGCTCCTGGAGTACGTCAACCAAGTTGTCTGCTCAGGACGCACGAAAGACGTCACTCTCATTGAGCGTGTCCAGCGGGCCGTAACGAAAATAATTGCCGGCCTCAAATCCATGGACTGCGAAGCGCGTTTCGCAGTGGTTGATCTCTTTCCCCTGAACTTTCGTCGCTTCCGAGGACACCTAATTCTTATTTATGCCCTCTTTGAACAAAGCTTGGCAAACAGGTTTNTAGTCTCGGATTTCCTTGGATCACTTGAAACATCGCAACAATCCAAACACAAACAACAATCAATCGTACGCAGGTCATTCTGTTCGCCCGAGGATACATCCCGTGGACTTACAAGGTATCATACCACATTTAACCATCCTGCTTTACAACAATTCAGTTGGTGACGTACTTGGCTCAGGAAAAATGGGCCGCACCGTCGTTGAAACCATGCTGGCGGCGTTCCACATGGCGTGGGCACCCGGACCGCAAACGGGCCGCTGGCTATTCGCACAATGAGATTGATTTCTTGAAATCTACAACATTTTCAGACTTACCACTTCATAGTGTAGAATGTCTGTGTATAATGTATATGCTCCTGTATTATTGAAAATCCTTTACTATGGCGATTTGTTTAAGTGAACGAAATCTCCAGGTCAATAAACGCCGCCGACTGTGAATACGTTACCTGATATGTTCCTGGGCAACCCGGAATCTGGTTGACATTACTTAACTGTCGGTGCTTCATTCTCAGCCAGCGGATCACTGATAGTGTCCTAGTTTAAGCCATAGCTGGTCACCGGTTTTCTATTAATGGTCGTTCAACGTTAAACTTAAATTATTGTCTCGGATTGAAGTAGGGTTCACCAGTTCTCAGAACACACAGACCAATGCAAACAGTTGCTGACGTATGTAGTTGTGCTTATAGTTCAAGATCGGTTGGTTTTAAAAAGTATAATGGTACATTTTGGTGCCTATGGTCTAAACATCTCCATAGGCAGATGATAAGCGGTAATCCTGGTGATAACTTTAAGAAAATATTGGGAACCACCCGCGTTTAGGAGCTAACTCTGTTGTATTGGCTCTTTGCACTGATCGTTGTTCACATGTGGGAAAACCGT